ATTTTTAGTTCTGCATATAAGGCATGTATGGTAGTGTTGAGAGTATGCAACAATTGCAGAAGGTGTAGGATCTATTTGGAAACTGGAAAATAGCATATGATGTTTAGAAGAAAATAGATCAGATTGTTGTTGTTTTGGAGTATGTGATTGAGGTAATTCATCAGAAATTTTTTTAAAACAATTAACAGAGATAGTAGAGGAGGTTTGAGTCATAGGTTATCCAAGAGAAGTAGAGTAAGGAATTCTGTAAAACTGAGAGGTGAAGCTAGTATGATATGTTCTACAAAAGCATGTAGCAATAATAGATTGTTGAGGAACTTTAAAATAATGATGTTTTTAGTATAGTGCACAACACTTAAAGACTACATTTGTCCTATTTTGGGATTTAAAACTAAAATATACCATAAAGTTGATTTATGTAGTATTTTCGAATGTTTCCACTGATCACGTGATCTGACCAATTATTTGTCATAGTAAAATAATACTAGAATAAGCTAATGCATATGTATAATATCTGCCAGCTTAATACAAGAAATGGTAATCTAAATCTACCTTGGAACATTAGCAAAAATAACAAGAAAGTAGTTTTATTTATAAACTTTAATTTTCACTTAATCTTATATATTGTTAACATGATTTGAAGACATAAATATTTCAACTTTTGTAAATTGTTGAATTGATAAAACTTTTTGGTGCAATATAAGACACAATATTATAAATACCATCAAGTATTTATTTGTTTTTGTATTCTGTGTTAAATCATATAGCCTAAGCTTGCTACCTATATGTGTACATTTTATATGATTATTAAACTATATAAATAAATATATATAATCAGTTTAACATGCATCTAATATAAAGAGTGCATCAGGATAACCACCAAAAGTCTGAATCAGTTAATAAAATGCCATAGCTATATATACCTTAATAACAGATAGTATATTGCTTTATTACATATTTCAATTTAGCTGTATGCAGAAGTTAAATGATTTAACAATTTTTAAAGAAATTATGTAGTGGCTCCTGATCTGAACTTTTGGTGGTCGCCCTGGCACATTCTATAATAAACCATATAATAAATAACTAACTTTTTATAAATCTTGAAAATTATCTTTAAAACTATACAAGGTTTTGAATACAATCATGCTAGATGGTTTACAGACTTAATTTCTTTGATCTTTTAAATAGCATCAAACCAGGTTGCAGGAAATATAGGGCCAAACCTAAAATAGCTTTTATGTAACATTATATACAAAATTTAGTAATAAATTTAAATAATAACTTTTAACATAATGATATGAAAAAGTTATGGACTTCACAATTGCACTGAATATTATTTATTTTCACCTTTCTGATCTTAAATTTAAATTTAAAAAAAATTATAAATTTAAAAAAAAAATTTTTTAAATTTTAAAAAAATTTAAATTTAAAAAAACCATCTCCAAAAAATTTAAATTTAAAAAATTTAAAGTTCATTCGTCAAGACTGATCAAATTAGACTATAAACTGTTTAGAGAATAGAATAGATGAAATTGGATAAACCAGATAAAGCTGTATGATCTCTAATTAATTATAAATAACAAAAATTATAATTAATTATTGAACAGTCAATTATTATATTATTTCTTTTTACTAAACATCCCATTATAACCTTTTATTATTATTGTATGCTTTGTCATTATTTTCTTAAATAAATAAAGCTAGCTTATTCTTTGGTATTCACCTATGCGATTTAAATTTCTTACAGACATACTCAGCTAATTTTCCTATCAATCCCTCACAATACAATTCCATATATCTTTACGATTTTTGAGCAAACTTCTTTATTGTAATAATATCAACTGAATCTAATGCACAAGAAACTGTTTGTTGGAAACTAGCCCAAGTATAATTGCAATTATCTCTAGCATATCTCTTAGCAGCCCCCTAATACATTTTGATAAAGTTGAGTTCATAGTGAAATTTTGGATAAAAAACACATAAATGACCTGCACCTTCTATTAGTTTCACAATTGCTAACTTTTGTACAATAAAATCAGATTGAAATGCCATTATTTTTCTTGTACAACAATCTTTTTGTAAATTATCTTTTGCTAATTTTTTATCCTTACATGTTTTACATTCTAAAAACAACTCATTCTTCCAAAGCCCTCTCTTCTTTAATATTAATTTAATACTTTTTGACTCTTCTTGCATATTTTTATTATAATCTACATCTTCTTTGAATCTATAGTCTTCATCAAATACCATATGTTGGGTGTTTTGTCATCCATTAGCATCTACAAAAGTTGTTGATCACATTTTTGGTTGGTTTCCTCCAGGTTCAAATTCATTCTTGCAGCAATAAGAGCATCTTCTGTATATGCTTCATGGTTTGTACTATTGTCGAAGGCAAAGACAGCCATTGCATTAAAAAACTTTGCTTCAAAAATAGGAATCGCTTTATTCCTAATTTGTTCTAGCAAATTATCAACTATCCAAAAACCTTCTTGGGTTTTTCTGGGCATTAGATAGCAGCATGCTTCTATGAGAATGTTCAGATGCATTCTTGCCTCTTTTTCACTTAATTTCAACTGACTACATTTTTTTAAAAGAAACTCACTTACCATAATTGATCTTCCATTTTCTTTTTTTCACAATGGCATGTTCCCATCTGATACCCAAATCACTTATTTTCTGTTATTTGAATAAAAAACACTCTTATCATATGTTATGAAGATTAATTCTTGTTCATTTTGTTTAAGTACTAGAGAAATTTTTTTCATATTGTCTTCTTCATATCTGAAAATAACAAAAAATTTAATTAAAATTTTTTTAAAAAGATTATTAAAATCAATGTTAACATTCTATTATTCTATTATTATCCCTTAAACTGTTTTCCAGGCAAATTTGTCTAGAAATTTCATGATTGATCTGTGATTAAACTATTAAATTATATTGATTTGTAGTCTAAATTGTAGTAGATATATAATTAAATTGACAGTTTAAGGGATATTGTAAATGCTTTATATATAAGATAAAACTTATCATTAGGTTTTCAATTATATTTTGTGCCCAGTTTGTTCTTTAAATGCTATAATAACTTCTTATATAATGTAATTGAAAACCCTATAACAAAATTTCTCTAGATGGCATTCAGAAAAAAAAACTAAACACAAAATATAAATGAAAGCCTAATGACAGGTTTTTTCTTGATAGCACTCATATTGAAATAGATTAAATTATTGCAGATATATAGTTTTGCTTTTTAATCTATTAACAATTATTTAATAATTATAAATTATTTAAACTAATTTTTTACATATAGCAAAAAAATGCTTTATTGTTCTATTTGCAGATCAAAATATTTTAGCAGTTAACATTGATTAAAATTATCCTAAAATATGCATGTATCATTTCTATCATACTTTGCCATTCCTGTTCTAAAATTGTCATTTCTTCTAAAAATTTTTTTTAATAAACTACTACATCATCCTGCTCATATCCATCAAAGTACATATCTAGAATTACAAAATTACTATAATCTGTATAATAAATATAAAATAAAAATGTAATTTTTATAATACAGGCTTATATATATCTTGCTGATATTTTTTAAATTAGAACCCTAAAATGTTTAACTACCATTCAGCTGTCTGCAAGCTGATTGTTTTTTTTGTCTCTCCTATGCTCTGAAAGAATAATGTCATTAACATATTCTTGAAACTCAAATGAATCAACACTATTTACTTCAGAATTTTGTCATATCTACTGTTTATATTGCATTGCAATATCTTTATTATCAACAAGTTACTTGTGTTTTTGATATTTACTATGTTGTGAAAGTGGAAATGAACCATGATACAAATAATACTTGGCTAAAGACCAAATTCTTCTGGATGTATATGGTTTTGGTTTGATATAGGTTTTATATATAGACTCTTTACTTGCTTTTTCTTTTCTATACCCGCTCTTTAGCAATACAAGATATTCATAAACCGCCTAATGTTCATTATATTCAGAGGCTGTAATTAAATGTCTATTTTTTATCAAATATTCATGAAGTTGGTTGATTCCTTCATATGCCATGATAGGTAATACTTCATTCATTGAAGATGCACTAAATCGCTTAAAAATTTTTTTAATTAGTGTTAGTAACTGTAATAAAGCCTAAATATTTTGGCAAATTAATAACAAATAAGAAAAATTTACTAACTTTGCAGCTTTAAAAAAGCTTGTAATCTTATAAATTTCTTTAGCTGTATTGATAAGAATGCTAGAGGCACCAAACTTATGATAATAAGTTGTTTTTGGTAACCCTTTTACTATTCTTGTTTTTTTTTTCTTTATTTAGTGTATAGAAGTTACAGTAAGTAAGTGTTCATGTGTCTTTTGATCTTTATTGTTTCTGTTCTCATCATCCTCCTTCATATCAAGCTCACTATCCTCTTCTAAATCTTGCGCAATTTCTTCTTCAGCTTCTTTCTTAACATTCATCTTAACATCCTTCTCAGCATTTATAACAACATTCATCTCAACATCCTTCTTAGCATTTATAACAACATTTACTTCAATATTCATTTTAGCATTCTTCTCAATATTTACCTCAACATCCTTCTTAACATTCGTCTCAACATCCCCCTCAATATTCGTCTCAATATCCTCTTCAACATTTATCCAAACATTCTTTTTAACATTTCCTTCAACTTTTTCTTCCTTTTGCCATCTTTCTTTTGCTAGTTCTTTTCTTTGTTTATTATATTTTTTGAGTATGTTATTTAATTTTCTCTTCATCATATTTTATTAAAACATCTAAAATTGTATTTCTTATGCAGATTCTTATCATATAAGAGGTATATTCATACATATGTGTATTCAAGTAGATTATGCTTTGTATTGGGTACTAAAGCCACACAAGCTATGCAGGTTTTTATAGAGCCAAACAAGCTACACAGGCTCTTTTAGGACTACACAAGCTATGCAGATTCAAGAGCCACACACAAATTGGTTTGTATATAAGTTAGTTACTAAAGAGCTACACACTAATTATATTCGTATATGGGTTATCAAACTTTTAAAATTTTTATGTGAAAGCAAAAAACTTTTTTTTTGATCTTTATGATAGCCATCATTTGTCACATGCTTTCATTAACCAATCAAAATGTTATACTCAAAATTTAATTTGATTGATCGATGTATTTGTCCCATTTCAACCAATTTTATATACTAACATATAAAATTTATGACTTTTTAAATTGAATTAAGTTAAAAATAAATAATCAACATTAAAAAAATAAAGCTGCTAAGTTGTAGTATATTGATTTAGTTACAAAATAGTGACTTTTTTTTTTTAGTATTATCTTTATATCAAAAGTTATTAATTTTTAAAATTTGTGTAGTCTTTAAGTATTATGCACTGTAATATTACAATTGATTGGATTAACATCTGCTGGAAGTATATGTAAAGATTGAGGTTTTTTTTTAATCATTTCTACACCACAGTGATCTTTATATTTACCATGATAGTAGTTAATATCATAGAAGTCAGATCTTTAGAGACTAAAGTAGGCATAGTTTAAGGTTTAAAAATTAAAAACAAAGTATATAATAGAGATCTTAAATATAAAGGGATCTGAAAGATATAGAACATGACAATTAAGAGAGTGTGACAAATAAGAAGGTATGACAAATAAGGGATGTAATGAGTAAGAAGATGTGACAAATAAGATAATATAACAAATAAGTAGCACAGAGTGTGCAGGCTAAGTGGTTACAAAAGATTGATGTTGAACAAATTTTTGTATTAGTTAATTGAACCAAAAATAGAAAAAATTAAAATTTGTATTAAGTTAATTAAAAATATGATTTTTGGTAGTGATCTGCAGGTGCTAGGCGTCCTAGAATACAGAACCCCTCCAAAAAAAAGAAAAAATTTTTTGCAAAAAAAGAACAGAAGTTTTGTAAAGAAGTTTTAAAGGTTTTTTGCATAAAACCTTCAATATTAATCCAATATTAATATATAATATATTAAAATGAAGCTCTAAGTGAGCTCTGTCTTTTTGTTTAAAATAGCAATTAAGGATAGCTTAGAAATTTTTTTAAAAATTTTAGAAAAAGTATTTTGCAGTTTAATAAATATATCTCACTATATAAAGATCCAGAAGATATAAAACTAGACTGCCTATATATAAAATTTAGTTACTTAGAAGGCCAGAAAAGATTTACTTAATAAATTATTTAGTTATGCAAGTTTATTATCAGAGAATTTTGGTACAAATGATTATCAGAAAGAGTTAATCCAATACTGGTTTTTTATATTCTTCTATATATATATAATCTTATATTTTACATAGATGCCTCAAGCTCCCAATGTTAGATGAGGCCTGACTTGGTATACCTAAGATTACAGATGCCCAAAACCCAACTGATCCGCAAGAGACAGTTACCATAACATAGCTATAATTTTTAAAATTTATTGTTCATGAGAATTGAACCTTAGACCTGTCACTTGAGAGTTGACAATCTATTCACTTTACTAAGTTACCACACTTATGTATTTATTGAATTATTAAATTTTATACTTTTAATAATTACTTTTTATTTTAAAGAATTAAAAAAAAAAATTTACTAAAGAATATGATAACCTAGTGAAGTGGTCAGGTTGTCAAACTCCAAATAATAGGTTGAGTGTTCAAATTTTATTAATAGCAAAAATTTAAATAATCACTTATGTAATATTCATATTACAGCAACTGTTACTAATGATTGGGTTAGGATATCTGTAATGACAGTCATATCAGCATGACTGGCAGGTCATAAAGCATCTGTATAAGTATGGTGTTATATAGAGAAATGCAAACTGACAAATAGGTAGTGCAAACACTAAATAAGTCCTTGTAGTTGTATAAATCTGTTAAAATTACATAACAAGAAGTTCATTTAAGAAGACCCAAGTAAAGAGGTAACTAGATCTTTGATGGCCCTACTATAAAGACTAGCTTGGAGAAACAGATATCAAGGTTGTAGTATTTGGTTGTAGTAGCTGGACAGACAAAAACCTCTAAGTTGAAAGTCTTGGAGGTACTACCAATTAGCTGCCAGAATAAACTAAAAGAAAAGGATATCAGACTGACCTGATATACTGATGGACTGGTCATAGTCCTACATAGGCTATCTGAATTGGAAGTTTGATAAAAAGGCAGAAGAAAAGGCAGAGATATACTAAAGTACTAGGGTTATGCTATGAACTAAATGCTAAGATTTAAGTAAACTCCACAAGGGCATAGTAGTTTAATGGTTAGCCCTGATCACAAGTGTTGGTTCTGCTATAGCGATACCTAAGTTAGCTATAAAAATAGGTACAGAAGGCTTTAGAAGGTTTATCTTGAGAATAAATTAGTTCTAAGATTGAGATGATGATTTGGGCATTTGGGTATAATTCAGTAATGTTAATACAGATTACAGGTTTAGAAGATTTAAAATAGAACATCCAAGCAAGAGTGTTAGATATAACAATTGGTAGGGAACCTTTGAGCAGACTTCTTAAATAGGTAATATAGAAAAGGTACATGTGTAGCCAATTGTATGCTTTCCTGTAATGGTTCATTGAATTACAATACTAATAAGTGATTAATAAAAGTTAAAAAACCAAAGAGGTCATCTTAATACAAAAAAAAAAAAAAAAATTACTAAATCAATTATATTAATATTTAATTTATACAGTACTGAACAGTAAAAGACATCTAATATTTATTAATAAATAACTTTGAAGTGTTATAACTTTTTTAAAACAGGTTAAATCAAAGAAACCTCTAACAAATTGATAGATTTTTGGATAAACTACATTTTTGACAAAGGATTTTTTTTTTATTCTTTGTTTTAAAAAGTTATAAAAGATTAAAGTTTATATAAGTTTAAAAAATTGGCATTTAATATAAAAAAAAAAGAAAATATATATATATTTTTAACTAATTAAAATCAATTACACAAAAATTAGCTAATCAAAATTAATTATATAAAAACCAAAAATTAGTGCCTATATGTATTGATTGGATGTCTTTTACTGTCTTATACTATACTATTATTTTTGGGATATGGTAACTTAGTGAAGTGGTTAAGTTGTCAATCCTCCAAGTGGTAGGTTGGGAGTTCAAAACTCACTGATAGTGAAAATTTGAAAAACTATTTATGTTATATTGGTATTACAGGAGATAAGTGGTATTACAGCAATAGCACTCTATTGATCAGTAGAGATCAGTATCTGTAACATAGTCATACCAGATAACTGGCAGGTCATAAGGCATCTGTGCAATATTGAAGTTATACAAAGGAATGCAAACTGACATCAAGCAGTGCAAATCTAAGATAAGTCCTTATGACTATATAAATCTGTAAACTGAGAAACTAGAGCCCACTTGAGAAGATCCAAGTAGAGAGGTAACACAGATCTTCAACAGTACTATTGTAAAGGCTAGACCTAGGAAACCAATACCAATATAGAAGGAATTGGACAGACAAGAATCTCAGTTAAGAAGTACTACCAATCAGGCTACTGGAAATCTCAAACTAGAGGAAAAAGACCTTGAAAGCAAACTCTAAGATACTAGGAACAGATTATAATTCTATCAGACTATTTAAATTGGGAGTCTGAGATCAGAAACAGAGGTATACTATAAGTACTAAAGATATGCTATGAAGTTAATACTGAGGTTTGAGTAAACTCTGCAAGGATGAGCTCTGTTAACAAGAGACTAAATATGAATAGTTAGTTAGCAGAAAGGCCTTCTGAAGCTCTATAGTCAGATGACATACTCTGAAATATGTAATGACTTAACAGATATACAAATAGGAAGGTTATAGTTAGATTAGACAGCACTAGATGTACAGAAACTTGTATGCTATTTGTTGGTATAAGTATAAGGATCAGAATGTTTAAATAGATAATCTCCTAGTAGATTGCAGGTATGGCAGCTAGTATAGAACCTGCTATGCAGGCAAACTATTTAAATTAAACAGCTAAAAGTTGTATATATAGCTAGTTGTATACTTATCTTGTACAAATTATGTAAATATAATTAAAATACAATAAAGGTAATAGCTGCCAATAACTACAGTCTTAATGTAAGCAAAAAAAAAAAATTTATACTATTATTTTTAAAACTTTTTTGAATAATGAATTGTTGATATGTTCTAATCTAAATTTTTTTTTTTTTTAAATATTAATGGTAAGGCCATGCCTTTAACTTTATTGAAATTCAATTGAAGTTTTTACAAAAAAA